CTCCTCGTTCCATCGAATGCGATATTCGCCGTGGCMAACGCACAAAGGACCATAAATCTTTCGCAGAACTTTTCTCTCGAAAACTAGCAACGTCGACTCATCAGTTGTTGTCATCGTCCAAGCCTCTGCACCCTATAGCAGGACGGGTATTATGAGTGACTTATAGAGTTTGGTTTTTGTTTGTCGGGAGAGGACTTTGCTTCTCAGTTGCCTACTCAGTCCGAAGTAGCACCTGTTGGCAAGAGTTATCCTGCGTTTGATTTCTAGGCTGACATTGTTGGTGGTGTTTACGCTGGTTCCAAGATAGACGAAATTATCTACAACTTCAAAGCTATGACTGTCAACAGTGATGTGTGTGCCAAGTCGCGAGTGCGACGACTGTTTGTTTGATGACAGGAGACATTTCGTCTTGCCCTCGTTCACTGCCAGACCCATTTGTGTTGCTTCCTCGTCCAGTCTGGCGAAAGCAGAACTAACAGTGCGGGTTTGAGGCCGATGTTATCAATATCATCGGCATACGCCAGCATCTGTACACTCTTATAGAAGATGGTACCTTCTCTATTTAGTTCTGCAGTTCGAACTATTTTCTCCAGAAGYAGGTTGAAAAAGTCGCACGATAAGRAATCGCCTTGTCTGAAACCTTGTTTGGTTTCGAACGGATCGGAGAGGTCCTTCCCGATTCTGACGGAGCTTTTGGTGTTGCTCAACGTCAGCTTACACAGCCGTATGAGTTTTGAATTCAGACAGCGCGGCATAAAGGCAACTCCTTTTCGTGCTGCCGAAAGCAGAGTTGAAATCGACAAAGAGGTGGTGAGTGTCGATTCTCCTTTCGCGGGTCTTTTTCAAGATTTGGCGCATGGTGAATATCTGGTCGGTTGTTGATTTTCCAGGTCTGAAGCTACACTGATAAAGTCCAATCAAGTAGTTGGCGCAGATTAAGGGGTCTACTTTTTTGTGGATTGGGCATAGCACACTTAAATTGTAATCGTTGGGCATGCTTCCGTCTGAACATATTTTACAAAGACGCTGATGCATGCTCCTTATCAGTTCCTCGCAACCGTGTTTGAATAGCTCGGAGCGCAACCCATTGGCAACCGCCGCTTTGTTGTTGCTCAGACGGGCAATTGCTATTCGAACTTCTTCCTGGTCGGGCAATGGAACGTCTGCTCCATCGTCATCGATTGGGGAATCGGGTTCGCCTTCTCCTGGCATTGTGCGTTCACTGCCATTCAGCAAGCTGGAGAAGTGYTCCCTCCATTATTTACGTATGCTCTGGGTATCGGTGACCAGATCACCTTTGAAGGTTCTACAAGAGTATGCTCCGGTCTTGAAACCTTCTGTAAGCCGCCGCATTTTGTCGTAGAATTTTCGAGCATTACTCCTGTCGGCCAGCTTATCAAGCTCTTCGTGCTCACACGTTTCAGCCACTTTCTTTTTCTGTCCGAAAATGTGTCTCTCTTCCCTCTTCAGCTCTCGGTATCTATCCCATCCCGCACGTGTTATGGTTGATCGTAACGCTGCGAGGTAGGCAGCCTGTTTTCTCTCCGCTGCGACACGGTACTCCTCGTCGTACCAGCTGTTCTTTTGCACTTTCCGAAAACCAATGGTTTCGGTTGCAGATGTCCGTAAGGAGTTTGAAATGCTGTCCCACAGTTCCCTTATACCGATTTTTTGACGAGAGCTCTCAGAGAGCAGGAATGCAAGCCGAATAGAAAATCGTTCGGCTGTCTGTTGTGATTGCAGCTTCTCTACGTTGAACCTTCCATGTGTTTGATATCGTGCGGTTTTTGCTGCAGAGAGGCGGGTTCGAATCTTGGCTGCAACAAGATAATGGTCCGAGTCGATGTTAGGACCTCGCAGTGCACGCACATCTAAAATACTGGAGACGTGTCTTCCGCCTATCACAGCATGATCGATCTGGTWGGTGGTTTTCGATCCGGAGACAGCCAGGTAGCTTGATGTATCTTCTTATGGTGGAATCTAGTACTTCAGATAACGATATTTCTTGCCCTGGCAAAGTTGATCAGCCACAGCACATCTGGGGATGTTTCCTCGTGGAGGCTGAATTTACCGACTAACGTCTACGTCACCAAGCACGATTGTGAGAGCGTGCCGGGGGCAGCTCTCATAAGTGCGCTCTAAGCACCCATAAAAGGCATCTTTGGTCACATGGTCCTTCTCATCCGTCGGGATGTGGGCGCAAATCAGCGATATATTGAAGAACCTAACTTTGATGCGGATTGTGGCTAGACGTTCATTCACCGGAGTGGATGATAGTACTCCGCTACCGAGTCTCTCTCTGAAACCACGAATTCAACACCAAACCTTCGCTCCTTTATATGGCCACTGTAGTAAATGCCACAAGGACCTACTCGTCTCTGTCCTTGTCCCGTCCATCGCATTTTTTGGACGGCGGTGATGTCGTGGCGGGTCCCAAACCCAGCACACAACCCTATGTAGRGGATATTTCGCCTTCTCACTTTAGCTCGCCTTCAAACGGATGTTCTCAGGCTACCCAGAGGATACTCGATACTTGGTCAAAGACCGGAAGTCGTGAGCTGCTTGAGGCATATGTAAAAGAATCGTTTCTGGCCACTCCCAAGTGAATGGCGATTAGAGAACTTTCCTCACTTGCGTGAGCTTCTACATACTCGCTCTGCTAAATCTAAAATTACCAAAATGAAACTGTCGTCGATATATGTGTAAGTGGGATGTGTTGCCTCTTCGAAATTTTCGTAGAAATGAAAACTAATCTGTCAAACAGCTGAAGTGACAGCTTATTGCTTTCAATATATGGCATACTAATTAGTATTCTATATATTGCATTGCATAAGCAATATTCAGTCTCCGTAGACAATAGGCACGGCAATAGAATTAGTATACAATAAATTTTTGCCTATCTTGATGCCTCGTAAGAAACGATATGTTCAAAAATTGCATTGGGAAATGGGTATGTACGTGCGTGCAACAACAAAACTTACTGCTTTAACATTGATATTATAGAATCCTTTTCAATTTTAATATAAATTAAGAGACAGTTCAACATTATTTGATGGAGGAACAAATACAGGAATATGCGTATAGTTAATTGCTCCTATGTTGCTTTTTATTCCAAATATTCTAAAAAATCTAGAGTTTATTTGAAATAAATTAGCTTAAATTAGTATATTGTTATTTATATTAMWWWAATACTTGCTACGTTTTTATAAAAGTTTCTTCCTCTGTTGAACTGGGAGGCTTTATTTCTTCTTCTCGAAAGGAGGACTGACTCATCGGCAAGTTGAGGTTGTTACCTACCCATTTCTGGTATGAGCCGTGTCCAAAGAAGTTCAAAGCTGCTAGAACCCATACCAGTTCATCAATCAGGCGACGGCCTAATTACGAGTTTATCACAAACATTGCACAAAGGTATTCTGGCTAAAAAAAATGGATTGCTATCGTCGCGTAAACTTTTTAAATGCCGCGCGAGTTACTATCCTATTCTCTAGCCATATCCCAGTTAGAACAGTGACGGTCATGTTACTTAATGACATCCCGGTAACGCGTGCCGGTTTATTAGCCACTTTTTCCTATCACGTTCTTAAGGGCGAATCAAAAAAGCTCCCAAAACTTTTGTATACATGGGATGTTTTATAACCTTCTCGCTGTAAACGCTGTCGAAACTCAAAAATGTAATTTTTTTTTTAATAAAATATTTCTTTTTTTTAATTTTTATAATATTATAATTTTATTTAGATTTGCATTAAATTTAATGCACATTTTCACATTCTTTTTATAATATAAGAATTATTACTATAAATTACTATATTGATACAGAAAATAATTTATATCTACAAAAAATTAGGTAAATACGTGTGTATTAAATTTACCATATAATATGTTGGACAACAGAAATTTTGATAGCTGTTGCTTGCCTCCCCTACCGTTCCAGTTACACAAAATCAGGAATTCGTCAGTGTACATATGTACGGGAGTCCAAGATGTTGTTGGGCATTCCTCCAAATAGGTGTCATCAAAAAGCGCTGGCGTATCCATCTGATTCAGAAATAAAGATCACAATCAAAATCAAAATCTACTTCTTCTTCATAATTTTCACAAACTTAGATGCACTTAGAATAAAAACCTTTTTTCCCGGCTCATATATGCACTAAATTTATTCTTCTTCATATTGAATTATTATTTCATTTACTCACCCTTTTTTCCAAATATTATTGTACTTGTATTATTTATTTTAAATAATTTTGCATAAATATGCACAAACACAAATCTACACAGTTCTCTATCGACGCGTTTGTAACCGAAAGTTTTTTCTTCGAATTCACTTTGCCACAATGAACAAGCAAACGTCAAATTCACGGTATCATGCTGTAAGCTTTCACATCCATCATTTTCAATACGCGGTGACAGCTAAAAAATTTGTTTGTCTTCTCTTGTTTTATTTTTGCTTAACATCTGTTGAGTGAAGAGCTTATTATATAAAACAAACAAAAGACGCAATATATTGACTTCTTACTCATTTCAAGATTTGTGAGGGAGAATTAATGACAAGAAAAAATTGTGTACAAGTATTGGAGTTTCAGTCACGCAAGGTTTGAGGGAATTATATACATATAAATATAGAAAATGCAGAACATCCTACTAACATATGAATATAGAATTTGGGTTCCAAATTCAGCTGAGTTGAGTTGAGAGTGAGCTCATTCCTGTTATGTCTACATCGACTCAACTGTAAAGTCTGTTATACACGCGTCAACTTTTGTTGTGGCAATTCTTGGTTTGTTCGCTGCGACGTTTTTCGGCATTCGTGTTCTTTCTTTCGTAGTAAATAGTTGCATTTGCGTATATTTTTTTGAAATTAATATTTTAAATATGTATACCAACATACATAATATATTATAAATACTTTGGAAAGTGGAGTGTGACGAAAAAATCGAATTAATTAAAGATATTTTGAAATGTATGGAGGAAGCCATACAAATTGATTCAGGCGATAGTGAAAAGGGTCATATATGTGAAGGTCTGTTAGATAAAATAATTGAGGAATGTATCGCGACCTTAGGTCTATTGTGCCCTCTCCTGGCTCACAGGGACTCACTTAGCCCCAGCATATTAATGAAGTCCAATATCCTACTGGGTGCTAACGAGGCGATGTGATCCTTTTCCAGATACATGGATCCAAGGGCCTTTGACCTGCGCCTACAGACAGAAGGTCTGTTATGTAACATTTATTTTAATTTTGAATTATAAATAAAATATATTTCTTAATTGACAGAACTGATTAACAGATGTGATTTTTCCAATCAGGAAAAAGAAACGACAATGGGTTAAAGTATGGAGAACAACCAACAGTTTCACATTAATTTTTAATGAAGGAACTACTGCACATTGATGTAAATGAACACAAAAATTATTAAGAATGTCAAAGATGCAGTATAATTTCATATTATCTGCAATACAGGACGACATAATAAAGCAAGATACTGTGACGTCAGCTGCAATTTCTGCAACGGAAAAGCTCTCACTGATCTTCCGTTTTCTCGCAACGGGTAAGTTTAAAATTAAACTTTTTCGTATTGTAAACTAAAAACTTAAAATTTTTTTTATATTCAATAGGAGAATCATTTCAAAGCTTAAATTTTGGGTCAAAAATTTCCCGAATCAAATAATTCCCGAAGTTTGTGACGCTATTTACAAAAGACTGAAGGCCTTATATTTGAAGGTATAAAGTATTTGTTTTCTTATAATAAATAATTACATAATTTCATAATTTTAGTTTCCGAGCAATGCGGTAGAGTGGGTATCAATTGCAAACTCTAAAGGCACAAACAGTATAGTTTTGTTGGCCTTGGTTGATGCAAATTGCAAATTCATTTACGTGGATATTGGGTGTAACGGTCGATGTAATGATGCAGGAGTGTTCCTTCAAAGTGAACTCGCTTTGTTACTACGAGAAGATAGACCAAACTCTACTATAGGTAGTAATAGGTGTCTCCCATATGTCGTCGTAAGCGATGATGCTTTCCCGCTTCAGACACACCTAATGAAGCCGYACCCTTACCACACAACCTGTTGCCAGAAGAAAATATTCAATTACTGTCTTTCTCGTGCAAGACACGTAGTTGAATATGCTTTCGGGATTCTATCAAACAGATTCAGAATATTTTTAGCACCTATAAATTTAAGAGTAGAGTCTGTGCAAAAAATTGCATTGGCTTGCTATGTTTTACACAACTTTTTAGGAAGAAATAATACCAATGGTATAAATTTAATCAATTCCACAGCTGAAAGATATTCTCCAGCTTCTGTTAATATCAACAATCCAAGGAGGTGTGGGCCAGAAACTATTCGGCAAGAATATATGGCCTATTTTAATACGGCAGGAAGAGTTGATTGGCAGCCATAATTCTGTAATTTTAAAAAGTTTTTTATTTACCATTATGAAATATATATGAGTTCTAATAAAAATGGAATTATTTATATTTCATAGAAAAAGAAAAATATGTTGTATAATTAAATGCAACATTACAGAAATACTGTTTTATAGAGATACATATTTAATCGTTGAAATGGAGAAGGAAATTAATATCTTAAAAAGAGTATATTAATGGGGTGATTTTCCCATGATCATTGTTTGCGCAACTAATACTCCAAAAATGGAATCAGAGAACGTATATTTATAGAGAAGGTTCACGATGTGAAAAATTTAGGGATATTCCAATTTTGGGATATTTACTGTTTTGGATGAGTGCGTTTCACCACAGAAAATTATTAGCGCGTTTCACCACTTAACATCAGGGGCACGACAATAACAGAACTGAGTAGGTTTTAGAGCCAATGGGAAAAAATATGTTAATTTTATTGTTTAGAAGTGTATGCTTACAAATTCGTATATTTACAATGCGCAAACGACTGCAAATAATTTATATACATACATACGTATGTATATTACATACATACATACATATGTATATTTTATATCAAAGCACGCAAGCATGTACGTACAAATTGAACTATTTCATGATGAATTCCTTAACATCTTTGGAAATATATAATAAAGTCATACATGCATTATTACCTATGTAAATCTTTAATTAATGTAATTTATTTACAGGTCTATAAAAGTTTTGATAACATGTTAAAAGACCAAGCGGTCGCACGTATTCACGTATGTAATTATATGTGCATGGAAACAAAAAGAACCATACCCACTAGTTTGTATGTATGTAAATGTGTAGATTATTGCTTCATGCGAAATCTTCGATTCACGGGCAACCAATGGTTGAAGCTCAAGTTTTTTCAAAGAGTGTTGTTGGTAGTAAATCCACACAAACACAAACGAACGATCGCCAATTGCCACTGCTTCCCTTGCCGCTCTAATAGCTTTACCTACGAACTTGTGTAAATATGTATGCATTTGTATGAGCGTGAATACATATCAACGCAGATTTTTGCAAGCCGCGTACAAATATTTTGCACATTCCTTGAAGAATACAGTCAATCCCAGTTATGTGCCACAATCAAAGATACAGATGTTTGTGGTTTGTAAAAATAAAAATATAATATGGCACATAAACGAGTGCGAATACTTAAGCGACTGTTACTTAAATTAATAATTAGTGTTTAATAAAACAAACCGTGAGATGCAGCAAGATATGGATAGTTAAGAGGGATTATTTTCATTTAAGCGGAATACTGCTTAACTGGGATTCACTGTACACATAAATCAGAAGAATATTGAATATTTTATTTGGCACATTTCTAGACATCGACAAATAAACTATGTTGTCAATTTTATTCTAATATAATTTATATTAATACTTATATTTGAGGGGTTGTCGCTTTTTCCTTCTCATACAAATATCAGAAATTGTTGCATTTATGATTTTTAGCTTTTACCAACGTCGAGAAAAGACGCTTGTTGGCAAAGGCATGCTCGGGGAGATGTAATGGTATTTGTTTTTCTGAATGAAGCAAGTTTGCCTGTTGAAAGTGCGCTTGCGTTCATGAATGAAAATATTGTTGTTGTGTGTTTTTCTACAAATTTGGGCATCGAATTGGCTGCAATATTGATTTGTGACGCTGCTGATGCTATTTGAAACCATTGTTGTTTTTGTAGAACAATATTCGTAGTTTTTGCGTGCGACATACATATCTACATGGGAACGCAAGTAAGTATGTTGGTTTGTGTATGCATTAATTGTCCGGCAATGTCGTACAAATATGAATATGGATGTATGTATGTACATATAGCAGTAGTTCGCGCACACTTTTTACTGATAAATGATAATATCACGATTTGAATTTGAATTGTACTTACATATGTATGTGTGTAACTATGTGCTGGTATGTAGATACGTATGAAAATTGAATGGAAATGCGATTTACATAAAATATTATTGTAATATATTACAATAAGTTGTTTAGGATATTATGGTAGTATGTCATATATGTATGTATATACATATATAGCATATCTACATACTCATATGTAAATTTATATATAATATATTATCAAACATATGAAATATTTAAAAAGTAGCTCTTATTTGTACTTTAACTACAAATGTTACTTTGAAAATATCATAATTTAAAGATGAAGTTATAAATTTTGCTTGCATTCACAAAAAGTCGCAAAATGATATTCAATATCAAATAATATAATTGCATGTAAACGTATAGAATTATGTGCAAAAGGCTAACATACGTCTGCAATACGAATGTATATTTCTGAGCATACTTTTCATTGAATGCTCTGCTCTGTTCACACGCCACTGTTAAAGTTTCTCCTTCTTAGCTGGCTGTRGTGAAACGCACTCATCGCATTTTGTTAGCTTTTGACAGTTTACACGCCTGTCCGTTGTTGGACCTTCTCTATAAATATACGTTCTCTGATGGAATGTGGAAGTTGAAGCAAACTCGTTTAAAGGATTACTATTTTCGGTATTTCCATTCCTGTAAAAAATATTGTACGGAAACAGAGAAAACCGCCATTTAATGTAATTCATGCAACTAATTTTTATATAATATTATAAATATAAATGCCCATATCACATTTTATTCATTGATTTCAATTCATAATTCATCATAACTTATAAACTATATAAAAAATAAACAGTGTTTATTCAAAAATAAGGCACTAATTAAAAACTGAGGCTTTGTCAAATTAATCACATTTTGGATATAAATTAAAAATATTTCTTAAAACTATGTTCAACTTCAAAAATCAGTCTTTAAATTAATCACATTTTGGATATAAATTAAAAATATTTGTTAGAATCATATAAAAATATCTATATCCTTGGTATTTCAAAAAAAGCCAGCCTTAAAATTTTATGCCAGTCACATTTCATTCTTCTTCATTATATATATTAAGCGGTCGTGAAAAAATTTATAATTATTATTACTTATGTAATTTGATAAATTATATAAATGTGCATTACTTACAAACATCAAAATCTTCATCTTCAAAAATCCCACTCATTGCATTCTGAAGTNAACTTATAAACTATATAAAAAATAAATAGTATTTATTCAAAAATTAGGCGCTAATTAGAAAAACTTAGGCTTTGTCAAATAAATCACATTTCGGGTATAAATTAAAAATATTTCTAAGAACTATATAGAAATATCTACACTATTTGTATTTTGAAAAAGTCAGCCTTAAAATTTTATTTCAGTCACATTTTATTCAAACTTTTCCATTATATATATTAATCGGTCCTGAAAAAACTTCTTCTTCTTCTTATTATTATTATTAATTCGATAAATTATATAAATGCGCATTACTTACAAAAATCAAATAAGTCGTTCTGAGGGGATTGTAACTGCGAATCACGATATCTGTTTGATTTTTGTACTAAGCGGCGCATAAGGCATTGGACCTCCTATGGAGCGTCTTCTCGCATGGAACTATCTCCTCCATTTTCGCAGAGACCAAATTGCCCACCCAACTCTATTGCGTCTTTCAGCGATTTGTTCTCTCACACCCGCCAAATTCTGCCTCACTTTAGTCAATGCAGTGCTCTAAAAAATAAATGTTAGAAAATAAATAAGTAAATTGTTTCATTTTTAAAATTAAAATTACATTACCTTTCCGTTTTTCTTCTGCCTTTCTTTTTCGCCATTCATTATTTCAATTGTCTATAAATGTGGATAGTATAAAGTTTAAAACTATCTGTTTTATACGCATATATATGAATGACTTACTATATTAACAGTATATTCAGCGACAATTTGTTGGGTTGTTGGAGATATACTCACACTCCCGACTTCCTGACGCGCTTGCACCCTAAAGTATAATATTTGTTTGAATTGATGTAATAAAATTTTATAAAATAAAATTAAGAATTATTAGTTAGATTCCCCCTCCTAATTTGGGTAAGCTGCTCCAAAAATTGCAGCAGCGAGAAGCACCATAACTTTGGAGAATACAAATCGTTTATACCAGCTCCGCTTTTTCGTGAATTGCGCACTTCACGAATTTCCCGTAAATATTGTGTTCTTATATTTTTCCTTTTTTTTTATTTCAGACAGTTTATTTTTGTCACGTTAAGCTCCTCACAGATTTTGTTAAAAGCTTCAACTTTTACATTCCGGTCCAAATATAGTGGTGACTTTATGCTGTAATACACTCCTCTGCTTCTACCAAATATATTAACTTTTCAAGTAGCGCTTGTGTCCACTTTACTTATTAGACATATTCATCTAACTTAATCGAATATTAATAAACAGAAAATTTAAAAATTAATTTGTACAACTCACCACTTTTTAAAATTTCATAAACACCGTAAATTAACATCCCTCAATATCCACATAACAACGCAACAAGCATTAAGTGTAGTGTAGCCATACAGAAAAAAATTTGACAAAATGATATGAAAGAGAATGAGAAAAAAACTCGAACAGAGTTGCGCAACACAAATAGCTCGGGTGAACGTAATGGGCGACAGCAAAAGAGAATCGCTTGAG